ACACCTCTGAGTAAATGAAGACAGATATGTTTCCCTACACATTGGTCATTGGTTGGCTGAACTATATACAGTTTTATAGCCAAAATATATATTATTTAAGAAAATCAGCCATTCCACCCTTTTAGTCATGATAGGAACAATTGCCTCCACCCCAGCAATCAACAGTCTCAAGTTTATCCTTGCGCAGCCTCCCACCACCTTTTGTGTTCCCATAAAAATAAGAGAGCAAAACACACCCACAAAAGAAAATACTGTCACCAAGTCACCTCATCAGTAAATGCACGATCTTTCTGCAACAGCAGCCAACCTAGTGATGTCCATGCAGGGTTTACACTGCCTCCCTGCCTGTGCTTCCTACCATTCCATCATCTATGTCTTGACAAAGATTTCCAAACATTTCGAAGTTCTTAATACTCAGAAGCATTTTAAGCACATGAAAATTTCAAAGGATTTCTTCTTTTCCTCTTTAAATCATAGTTCACCTGATACTTTCCCTACAGCTTTTTTTAAAAAAAGACTTTTTTAAGTACGATCAACTGAAGCTCTTTCTTCTTCACAGTGTTTTGATGATCCTAACATGTAAGAAAAAAAATCAAACCTATTTAGGAGGTGAAACAGTAAAACTAGAAAACTCCACACCATTGAACGCAGAAGATTCTGCATTTCATGCTTTCTGTACATTAAGAAAATATGTAACTTCTCACGTTAGAGATGGTAAAACAACCAACCAACTTTTATCTCCCATTGAAGCCATAAGATTTTATTTTGCTAAAAAAGACACAAATGCACAAAGCCGATGCAGCCTGGAATAGCCAGTCAAGATACAGTTCTAGAAAAGACTCTGCAACAAAGGAGAGGTCTTTATTCACAAACATTGATGATGCTCCCCCACTACAACATAATAGACAAGCTAGAAGCTGCAACATTTGAACCACTTATTATCAATTTTTATTATTTGGCCATATCTTGAAACATCTTTCAAGTCATATTTGCAAGCCCTGGTGAGTACAGACACAGAGTAGTACCAGAGTTAACTTTGCTACAGGATTCTCCTCTGCTTCTCTTGTAAACGACACTGCACTAGACCTTCAGCATCCAACTTCACATCACGTTCACCCATTATCCTAATTAGCCTCTTTGTTATCAATGTGTGATTGTGTTAGTGGAATACATGCATCTCTCCAGTTCTGAAAAGGTCTCCTCTTTTCTCTCTTTATTTTTAAGCTGGAACCAGGCAATACATTGCTCTCCAAAAGAAAATGAAGGAGAGGATCTCCACAGTAGATCTAGATGCTCTTTTTCTTTGCTTCATGTGAAGCAAAGAAATGAGTGCAGAGGAAATAAGTCTGCAGTTCACTCATCAGGGGTTCACATTCACTCCATTATACAAGAGCAGAAGTCTCAATTTGCCAGTGTTAGTGGAAATACTCTTTCAATCACTTAATGGTTAGCAGGAGCTGGCGGGAGTATTACTGTAAGATGAAATGAAATGACAGCTGGAATAGAAACTTCAGCCTCTTAACCAGCTCCAACCTAAAATTTCATATAAAAGATGTTTTATCCTAGTGGTTAGCACTATTTTAGCATGACTAAATGACTGCAGTTCTCTACATGACAGCTCTTGTTAATTATTAGCAGACTGACTTTTATACTGACTACTATCGGCTACATTAGACAGCGAACAGAAAGACCTACTTAAATTTCATAATCAGATCTTTGGCACCATACCTCCAAGAGAACTGAAAGCACTTTATTTGTAACTCAAAACCATACAAAAGTTCATGCTGATGTTCCCTTTTGGGGACTTCCAGCAGGAAGTGCCCCAATTTGGGCGCTTGAGCAGAAGAGGAGCTGCTATAATGGCTAGAGCCAGTGGAGGGAAAGAAAAGCTTAATTGGGAAGCTGATATCTGAACACTTAACGCACTTACAGTGAGCAACACATCACATCAGAAATAAAGAAAGTAATTTTGCCCACAGTGATTGAGACAAGGCATCTTTTGAACACTAAATCCCAAAGAGATAAACGTGACTACATCAACAGTGAAACTACTAGTGAAGTTGCTCTGAAGGGTGAAAATCTGTATTATCCTTTCAGGATCAGGAGGATCAGCTTGGTCTGGTTCTTAAGCCTTAGTTTAGAACTCCGTTCAGTGTTCATACAAGTCATTGGTTCCCTATGCTTCTGTGGTAATTTGTCTTTTAAAGGCCTTTTATTCATACAAAGATTCAAAATCTCATCTTTTCAAAAAAGTTTAGTTTACTCCCCTAGATTCAGGGGAAAAAAGAGAAAAATGAACAGATTTTGAAGATGATTCCTCATGTGCCATGTGCTCCCAGACTGCTCACAAGTCAGGGCAGCCCTGGGAACTGTAACACAACCTTCTCATATGGACCTGCAAGTGATCCTAATCCTGGCATAAAGCGATTGCTCTCTCTGGAGAGCATTAGCAGCATAATCTCAATGCTACTGCAGGGATAAGAAGTATTTTCCAAAATTAGTTAACACCAAATAACGCTGTAGCAACTTGGTGTGCTAACTCACACTTACTTAGTGTTATCTCTGAGCTGCACGCAAAAAGCACAGCATGGCTACGTGGCAGCACAGACCCATCTGTAAAAGAAATCTTCGGTAGTATGGGTGCAAACAACCCCCCAAATCTGTCATCAATCCCTGGCCTTACCATATTCCATTTGCAACATGAGGGCAGGATTAAAATCACCAGTATCTTCTCCGTAAGGTTTACAGACCAATAAATTTCAAAATATTGCCTGGTTTGTGAAATAACCTATTCACAGAGCAGGCAAATACTGATGTCCATTAATACAACATCCCGAACCTGAAGTGAATCAATCTGCCAGTAACAGCCAGGAAACACAAAGGTCTAAGGACAACAAGGGCAAATGCCCAATAACACAACCAGAATATATGAAAATACCTCAAAGTCATGATGTGTTACATCTAAAAAGAAGTAAAAGCAAACCAAACACTGAAGTTCTTCCTTGTATTCTCCTACTATACTTCATTTCTCAAGTTATGAATAGTCTGTTCACTTGAGGCCTGACTTGTTATGTTAGTAGGTCATTAGCAACCTACTATGTTATGTTACATACATTGTTAACTGGTATTATAACAAACATATTATCTACTAGCAAGCTAAACACGAATTCTTTCCTCATCCTTCAGAGTATCAGTCAATCTGTAATTCATATTAAACACCAAATAATTTGTATTCAGATCACTAAACACCAAAACAGTCATTTGTATTCAGACTAGACAACTGTCTGTTACCATATTAACCCAGTCTCAGCATTACCACTTTCTCAGGAAAGAAAACCCAAATAAAACATAGCTATTTTGAAATCTTTTTTTTCTTCTTTCTTTGTAGTTAAAGCATAGTCAGTCTTTAAGCAAAAATTTCTGGGTAAAAATAAATTGCAGAATTTCCAAAAGACAAATAATGCCCTCAGGTAAACGGCCTATTTGGGGGAACAGAGATTGAGGAGAACCACATAAAAGACGTCAGCATTGCCCAAAGGGGAAGGGGAAGGCCGTGCTATGTTTAGAAAATGATCAGATATATCCTCCAGCCACAACATTTTTTTCCAGTGTGTTTTATTCCCAGGCTAACAAGTTATCTAACTGTACAAAGCATGAACTAATATTTTGGCTGGGAAACAAGAATCCCAACTTCCCCATGACATCCCTCAGTATCCTCAGGGTTTTCCTGCTTGCTGTTTGCATTTCAGCTTGGATGAAAATTTTGGCTTCTCACACGCTGCCAAACCTTCCCGAGAAGAGAATATTAAAATAAAAATGATGATTTTTACTCCCTAGCTATGCTTACCTTACTGATTTGAAATGCAGGCTGTGCTCTTCCTAGCTCATACATCAGGCCTCTGATAAACCCTGTAAGGGAAAATCCTATCCTACTGTTTGCATCTTTATTTTCTTAAGGTGTAACTATCCAAATTAACTCAGGAAGACAGAAAAAACAAAGAAGGCTCTCTCAGTAGCTCTTAAAGTGGAAGATAAAACAACCCATGATTTTCTCACACAAGATGGGCTTTCCTTGACCTCCAATTCTGGGAGTTTTAGCCAAGAATTCAAGAATATCAGCAATCAGCTATGGTTTTGTTTTCAAAACCTTAATTTTATGCTTCTGTTCTCTTCCACCCACAAAATTAGAGACTTGCCTGATCTCAGTTCTTTTTTATGAGAGATACAATACTCAAAAATCAGTGGTTAGGAGTCTCCAACTTCAAGAACAAATATTCACATGCACATTTTTCCATCCATCTCCTCACAACATGCTGCTTTCTTCCTCCCTTCCTTCTCTCTTTTTTAGTTAACTAAAAAGCAGCAGAACTGATTAACAGCAATCTAAATTCTCAAGCTAGTCTTCCCCTGGCAGAAAGAAACATATGGAGACTGAAGAGACATGAAAACCCATGTAATAATACGGCTTTCTGAAAGAAGGTAAATTAACAGGACGATTGTATCATGCCATGTCAAATCTCCATTTCTCCATGTCTGAAACAAAAGCATAATCCTAAAGCCTAAAAATATTTCTAAACTAACAAGTAGCTTCTTAAATAACACCAGCCCTCCTCAGCTGCTCCCTAAAGAGTGTGCAGTGCAGCTGCAGGAGATACTCCAAAACTCAGAGCGCTGGAATATGAGGCTTATTAGTCTAAGCTGTCTTTTTTCTACTGCTTTTTTTCCCTGCCTGCTTTTAACTAAGAGGTTACAAGCAGCACTGTTCCTTGATTCTTGGAAAGCATCAGGCTATTCATACCGAGGTAAAAATACGTCCATGTCACAAAGAAAACACATAGCTTTTTTTTTTCCCTTTTATATATAACAGTGAAAACAAAAAATAATACATATATACAGTGAAGAAAAGCAATTTGTACCAACAAGGGTACAAATTGGTGGCTAGAATCATCAACAAAAAGCTGACCAGTTCAATATGAGGTAAAGTGTTAATGAAGACTTACCTCCAGAAACTGGAGCATCCATGAATACAGCTCCCATTTTTTCAACTGCTTTAGCTAATTCTTTTGAAACTGCGGGGTCAATAGTACTGGAATCTATTAACAATGAGCCTTTCTTCACTTTCCTAAAACAAAGATTAATTACCATTAAGTATTTGTAGCTTAGAACACTTGCAGCTATGAGCATGGCAGTGGCTTTCCTTAGCACGACAACAATGCAGATACTTTTGGTACACTAATAAACATAGTTTTAAACCCTACTGAGCAAGACCTACTAAATATGTATACTCCAAATATTCCTCTGGAAATTCATGCTATAGCACAGTTTTGAATGATTCAAACACAATCAAACCTGAACAACAACAAAAAGGGATGTTCTTCCTGCAGAAGCACCCGACTGCTTTCCATCCTTTGCTCCCCTCAGTGTTTTTCAAACCTAGGAACTCCCAAGATTAATTGGCTTCATTGTAAGGGGCCAGCACCGCCAATCAGTCTCCGAAGCGCTGCCATCCTGGATGGCACCCTCTCCCACAGCCGTGTGCCAAGTTTTGCAGGGCTCATCCAATTACCCTCCTTCCCTGAACAGTCTAAGCTACACATACTTAGATCAGCTCAGTCCTGCTTTGTGAGGAATTAAACTAAGGATATAATAGAAGTCAATTAGTGATGCCCATGCTGAAAGGAGAACAGAACATCCTTCCCCTGTTCCATTTTATAATCACTGCACTTTAACAGCACCCACAATAAATTAGTAGTGGAGCTCTCAATAGTTAAAGACAAGCTACTACACTTTGCTCTTCTTAATAATAAATTATTCCTTTATTCTAATAATGCTGGATATCAATAATATCCTACATGATCCTCAAATGTATCAAGCTGTAGACATTCTGCTAAGAGCAACACATCAGTAGTCAACATTTCCAACACTACTTATTACTTTGGCAAGTTCAGAAGCTCTGTGCACTGCCACTATTAGAATTCTGCAAATAATGGATTTAAGCTCCATGGAAATCTCTCTACAAACGTCAAAAAATACTGTCTCAAATCAAATAAACTCTTTAGATATTTTCTTGCATAATAAGTAGGGAAGAAAACACCGAAGTGAAGCAGTATTTCTCCCCAGGGTACAATGGGTACAAGTTGAAACACAGACAGTTCCACCTCTATATGAGGAAGAACTTTGTTAACTGTGAGGGTGACAGAGCCCTGGCACAGGCTGCCCAGGGAGGCTGTGGAGTCTCCTTATCTGGAGACCTTCCCAACCCCCCTGGATGCCGCCCTGTGCCCCGTGCTCTGGGCGTCCCTGCTGGAGCTAACCCTGCTGGTTAGACTAGATGATCTCTAGACATCCCTTCCAACCTTAACCATTCTGTGATAAAAACCTACCCAAATTTGAAAAAAAGCAAAAGTTTTTAGACAAACTGTTTTAATAAACATTTTCCCTTTTTTGTAAGACAAATAACTATGCAGCAACTATACACAGAAAAAGAAAAGCCTATCATCTCTGAAAAAGGGGGGTTCTGAGATGTTGATCTTCATTCTTAAGTATGAGCAGATATAGACAAGGACTTCTGTGTATCCAGTAGGAGAATTTGGCTTCAGGTTAAATAAAGCATTAGATATATCAATGGTTCTGACTGTTTAACAATCCGTAACATTTTCTTTTAACTACAAGCCTTAGAATCCCTTTATCAACAGCTGTGTGTCTGCAAAGACAAGAGACATTAGGAGTAGAAATCAATAAAGCTTTGTCAGCTATTTTATAACTGTATTTCAATACTGTGAGACTCAATGGCATCTCTTCAGGACATTTATTTACAGAATTTCAAATCATAGGAAAAAAGTGCTTAAGCAAATAATTATCACCAGCAAATATTCTAGTTTTACTTCTCTGTTGCTAAAATATCTCTATACACTATAGTATAATAAATATGTAGGTAGAAGTTAGATGATAGACACTGATCTCAAATTCACATGTTACTTCTGAAAAAAGAATACAACATTAGCCAAAACAATTCAAAATCAATCACAGCTTAAAAGAAGTCTTGGAATTAGAAATAACAACAGTGGCAAACAGGACAGCATCATGTCAAATGCACTAACTAAATGCACAGCAATGGAGCTAAAGCAACAGGGATCATTTGATAGCCAAGGTAATAGAGGCCTGAGTCCAAGTGGGAATTCTCCAGACTACAGCACATCCTTACTTTAGAATTCCATTTGCTCCTGTGTAAACTTCTCTTGCATTGGGACTGGAAGGCAGCATGGTGATAATTCTGTCTGCTTTTTCTGCTACATCTGCTGGAGAATCTGTTACCTTTTAAAGGAAAAAAAAGAGAATTTTATGTAAACTTATGCTTCTTGAAAAAAAAAATTGCAAGACATTAGTCACAATTAAGCTAGCAGGAAAACAAACAAACAAAAAGAGAATACAAGACAAACTCTGCCCTCTTAACGAAAAAGCGGAAAGGGAAAAGACATCCTGTCATGGAAGCTCCTGCAGAGTGTTCCTCAATGGTCATGCAAGCACCAACTCACCCACAGCTCTGCAGTTTAGCCCAAGCCATGTCCCTGCACACACGATCCCTCCACAACGTGTCCCCAGAGGAGGGACAACACCAAGGAATCAGCCCTCCTGGCTGCCTGCCCACCCGGTGCTGCTATGCACAGCACACAAAAAGCTCTTCTCACACGGAAAATTTAAGGCTACCCACAACGTGCATCTGACCGTTATCACCAGGAGTAGGTTAGTGGACATGCACACACATTCTGGCTACTTGCCTGCCAACAAGGCTTTCAAATTACAAGGCATTTTGTTAAGCGGGAACCAGGTATTGAAGAAAGCTTTTTTGAAAGTAAAGCCCAGTCAAACTTGAAATTTAATGAAATATAGTAACTAATAGACATTAAAAGGTGCAAAGCGGCAAAAGAGTGGTGCCTCACAAAATAATTTGTTTTGTGACAGACCAAATTCAGGGTTTTCTTGAATATGCAAAATGAGGCTACCAATGGCATTATTAGAAATCAGGCATTCATTACAGCTTTCTCATTAAGTCCAGGTAATGGACTTTTGTTCACAGAAAACACGTATTTTCTTGATCCTTTCAAGACCAATGACTTTATCATTACTTCCAATGTTATTTGCTGGGCTTAATAAATCAACAAAATTAATAAAGAAAAAAATGGATGGCAATAATAAGTTCATTCAAGTTAAAGTATTTCTGAAAAAAAGAAAAACAGTTGCACTTTATACCATTTAAACTGGTACCAGTACAACCACACCTGTATAACGAGGAACTGCAAATCAAGAAATAAATATATCAACACATCTGATATCTAATGACTCAAAAATTCAGTTCCAGTAAAACTTCTGCTAACAAGACATAGACAAATTGAAAGATTAAGTCACTTGAAACTGTTTAAATTAAAAAAAAAGAAGAGTTATACTGAATAAGGCTTTCACTGAATGTATACTTAGCTTAAACTGAACAATAACGTTTCTTCCCAGGCTAAAAGTGGAGCAGTCCAGGAAGCTATTTAGAATAAGCATGGGAAGACTGTTAATATTCACTGAACAAATCTGTTACATAAATAAAAACAAAGAACAAATTGGCTTGGGAGTTGGAACATGTAGTTTTTGTTTTGAAAGAAAAGGTTAATACTACATAACACATCTTGTATAATGAACAGTTATACAAGGAAACAAGCCCAAATCTGAATGAAAATAAAAATTAGGCAGAATAAAAGAAGCAATTATAAGCAGAGCAGCTTGCATACCTGATGGGTTCATTTCATGACTGACTTCCCTGGAGAGGGAGAACCCAGCTCTTCACAGAGCTGCATGACCCCCATGTCTGCAGTTCTGAGGATCTCGGGTTCAGCTCGGTCCCAAAGTGTGTTATTAAAGGAGCAGGGAGGAAGCGTGTAATTGGAGCCTGGATTTATATGCATCTTCTGATGGGAGAATATTATCTCCAGTACCCTCCATGGTTTGCAAGTTGTCAGCTAAGGTTTCTGTGCCTCATTTTTATCCTTGAGCCAGAAGCTGAAGAACATTATGCTGGGCACACAACTGAACAGCCATGGCAGCCTCTTATTCTTACTTTGCTGTGTGGATAGGATGTAGCTGTTCTACTGCTATCTCACAGACTTAACTAATGCCTAAAGCGACACAGTTATACAGAAGGCATAGTACACTAATCGGCTGTACTGAAATGCATTCATTCCATCTATGTCTTTCAAAATAGTATCAGTCTTTTTAAATTTAGAAAATGAGATTTAAAAGATATGCAGATTGTGACAGTACTTCCATAACCATATGAAGGAAAACCTTTTTACTGCGTTGAAGCAGGTAGTATGTTAGAGTGGGAAATGTCATTCATGTATCTTTGATACTGTAACAAATACAACGGAGAATGCCCCGGGAAATCCACCCACCTGGCTCAATAAGCAGCATATGATTTTTTTTTGTTTATTTTTGGAAATCTCTGTATCAGAAATAAATGATCTGAAAGCTATTAAGAAATATTAAGGGTTGAAAGCCATTAAGAATGCCTACACAGACATAAAAACCATGCCCAAATACTAGCAAATGACAGCAAATGACTAACACAGATCATGCTGGGTTTGAGCAAGAGCCCTCCAAGTTCAGTGTCTGTTCTGGTATTAAGCAGGTGGAGCAAACTTGCAACAGGGAATGCGATATGAGAAGCCTTTCTTTACACTGCTACTGCTTTATGCCCAACAATGGGCACGTGACAACACTGGCTGTCCCCTGGGCCATCTGCTCACCCGAGCCACACTCGCCCAAGCGAGCCCAAAGCCAGCCCAAAGCAAAAGCAGCCCGGGGAGCCCGGCGTTGCCTCTACAGCAGTTTCTACAAGGCCCCCTGGGCCCACAAGTTTCCAAGTCCTGCAAAAGCTACTGGGGTAGGATTTACACCTATAGATCAGAAAAAGGAAGTTATGTTCAAATATTTACTTTAAGTGTGTTTTATTTGTATTTAAGCCTACCCGTGTATTCTCTTAGTGATTTATGATCTTAAAATAGGCTTTTGGCTTCATTTTTAAGAGCATTACAGTTTGCCTTTAATATCACATTAAGCCTAGCAGTGGATGCTGAAGACTGTTACCAAGGCAATAATAGGGTATCCAAAGCAGCAGCCACAGGAAAGGGATCCCACTGCAGAAATGGAATTAAAAATACAACCAATTGTTCAAACTTCTATTCTATTTGCAAAACCTCTTACTCAAGAGATCTGCTTCATGCCTGAGGGTCTCAGCTGCTTTAACTAAATAAATACAACAGGCAGGAAAGCAAGCTGTAAAGCTTCCTTTTCCACTTACTAAAACAAACAAACAAAAAAATCTGTAATTAGTCAGGGGGAGCTGCAATAAATTATCAATAAGTGCACAATATCTTTTTTTTCCCCACAAATCTTGGCATCTCCTCATTCAATACAGTTGCCACCTGCTCCACCAGCTTAGACTTCCAAAACACACAGCTCTACCTTTGGCTAGATGCAATCTCCTGCTGGATAAATTCCTTCTATCTCCTACACGGTCACTGCTGAGCATTACTCTTGCATGTTCCTTTGTGTCATTGTGTTATGGACCTTTCCAGCCACCGATAAGTAACAGCAACTGTTTAAATTTATATAGCCTTAAAGTATGTCAAAAATATTAATAAGCTTCAGGCACTCTGAAAGGACGGTAACAACCCTGTGAGGAACTGAATGGGTTTCTGGATCTATTAACCAGTCAACAAAAGCAGTAGCACTGACTGGAAGGGGGCCACGATTTCCCAAGGTATATATATGTATATGTGGCAGGAGGGTAAACCTCCTTAATGAGACCAATTTCCTCCCGTCTCTTTTCCTTTTCATTCCTTCCTTTCCTCTCACCACAACCTTCCTCACCTCCAGGGAACAGCCACTGCAATAATTGGGTTTTTCCTCTGCCCCTGCGGACTGCCCCTTGACGCAGCGGGGAAGCCCGTGTGTCCCCGTGCCCCTGGCAGCTCTGCCAGCAGGACCCTTTAACTGGGGTCGCCCAGCCTGGAAAGGTCAAAGCAGGAGCCAGATGAGAAGTGGCCCACAAACCCTCCAGACACGGGGGAGGAGGAAGAGGGGGAAGCAAGAGGTGAAGGAACAGGCTGTCAATGTGGTCTCATAAAAAGAACGGAAGAGAGAAAAAGGCCACGGAGGTGCAGCAAGGTGGCAGTTCTGGTTTACAGCATGACAAAGACTCACGGTGGAGCCACGTCTATGCTCCAAGTAGAGCCCCACAGACTCTGAGTGACGTCCCCAAGATATTTTTAGTTTTGAATGCGCAAGAAAAAGCCTTCTTTAAAAAAATCACATGCAAGAATCATTCAGTGCATAAAGTTATTGTCAGAATAAAGGAAGTTGGCTACTATACCTGAGCACCCGAGTCTTGAAATTCTTTGCAAGCTTCTGGGAACACATCATATGCAATAACCGGGTATCCATGTTTTATCAGGTTTTTTGCCATTGGGTTTCCCATGTTACCCAGGCCAATGAATCCAACTGGAGTTTTGGAAGCCATTGCCCTAGAACACACTGATTTCAAAATAATAAACATCAATATATTCATATTTTAGAGAAACGCATAACAATGATGCAATAAAAGTTATCATGTAATCTGTTTGCACTGATAAATGTTTAAGCTTAAAAAGTGTATAAATGTGAAATCTTATTCCACATAATTCAAACCTCAAATTATAGCTTACTTTGCACCACAGACAGCATAACAGAATGATTTTCCCATCTAGCAAAGGAAATGATTTTAACTGGAAAAAAAAAAAAAAAGATGTTTCAAAAAGTATAGTAATAAGTAAACTTGAACAATGCCATGAAATCTAAGATCAGAGAATCACAGAAAAATGAAGTCTTCATATATATATATATATATACACACACATATATGTATGTATGTATTTTATAGACTGCCTCCTTGCAGCAGGAGCTAACTTTGGCTACAGTCCTGGGACTAAACACCTGCGCTCTAGAAACAGGCTGAGGCTCCCAATTTATTTCATGCAGCCCTTCACAGATAACGGCTGGACACTTCTGACCTTGCAGTCAGGAAACCACGAACCTAAAGGTGAAAGTCTCCCTAATGCCATTACCAATCCTTTAAGCCATGTAATCACTTGCACTACAATTTAAAGGGAAGCCCTTAAAACTGGAACAAATTATCCCATGAGCAAGTTTTTAATCAGAATAACTGCTGTGCTCTTATTTGCTGTACTACCATAAGAGAACTATACACCCCAATCTACAAGTTAAAGAAAACTGCACAATTTCAATCAGTTGCTTTTCATGAGGGGTTGGGGAACATCAAATGTTAAGGATTAAGGAGAGCTGTTGGCTGCCACATCGTGTAACCACCGTCCCATCCCTCTGAAGAGCCCTAATCTAACAGCAGCACCAATTTGCCAGCTCTGGGATTTATCCGCCAATTATGTAATACAATTTTTCCTTTATGGCAAAGGAAAAAGTGATTTGGAATAAACACTGGGACACGTGGCGACCGAGCAGGCAGAAGCACGAATAATAGTAAACTTCCATAGCTCAGGAATAGGCTTACAGAAAAAGTGCATAACCTGGATCTAGACTCGGAGAGGTCTCAGTGCTTAGCAGAGAATCCTCTCTAGGCCAATAACACTTGATTAATCATTTTAAAGTCTTCTGACTTTAAGCTCCTTCTTAGCCAGCAATGGTCATGCTCTTTCATCTGTAGCACTATTTTGGAAGTGCCACATTCAATAAATCACATTTGTTGAGAGAATTTTGGTCTGAGATAGTTTCCACAGCTGCATATAGCAATTACATAGCTAGAGAAGTAGCACGATTTAAAAGAAAATTGCACTGGGAAAATGCTTAGAGCAAACTGAGGTAAGTCATAAAAAGGGCACATTGCTTTTTTAAGAAGTGTTACATCTCAAATATAGGAAACAAATAAATGAGCTTCAAACACCATCATCAGCCATAACCACCATCCTGCAGCATTTTCTTCTCATAGTTTCTGTGAGTCAGTCTTCCCCAGCACATTCACATTAATCTCAAACTGTTCCTTTTGTTAGCCAGAAGCTTTCAGGCTTCCTGCGGAGGTTCAAATCTCGGTCTTGGGCATCTCTCTTCCTTAAAACCAAGGAAGCTTATCTATCTTGACCTTCAAAACTAGCATCCTGGTAGCCCAAATGCTTCAGACAGGTAGACTACAGGCCGGCAAGAGCCCTACTGCAGGTACGAGTGGTGCTCCTCATGTGCCAGCACTGGGGTTGCTGTTGGGCAAAGCCTCCTCCACAACTTTGTCGATGGAAGATCCTCAGCACCCTCAGCAAATCCATGGGAAGCATCAAACGGGGCACAGTGGCTGGCGAAGGGGAGGGCAGGGCTGCCCCTCGGAACAACGTCAGCAGCGGGAGGAACCGGGCGATTCTCAACAGTTACAGCACGTGCCACAGCGCAGGGACATGTCTTGCTGTTAAGCTACCAAAACCCACAGGAAACGGGACCACAACGACAAACATATTGCTAAGAAGCCTTTATTATTTCTCTAAGGCTCTTCACTTTGTAAATACTCGGGGAACTAACTCATTCCTCCACACTAAGGTCTTCTTTTAAAATTTCACAAAATCCACAAAACGCGTAGCAACAGTGAGACTGGCACAAGATGCAAGATGCTGATCAGTTTTATTGGTTTCATGTCACTGCATTCTACTATAGTCCCCTTTGTCTCTGTTGATTGTTTATCGGTTTAAAAGTTTGAGTCAGGGACCATTTTCTGTTCTGTGCTAATTAAAATACGATCAGATGCACCAAAAGTAGCATTTTATTTAGAGCAGCTATCCAATTTCGACTTCCCAAAAGTTTGGTTTAATTTATAGAGTAGCAGCGTGATGTTAAATTAGCAACATTAACATGATACAGTTTGATTAACAGCTAGAAAAAGTCTTAATGTTGAGAACACTTGGAATGGAACAACAACCAAATCATGACCAAAACTTTAAAAACATGTGTTCTCTGCAGGCAAGTAGCATCAATGTATTTGACACAAGGGATAAGAACCCACATATTCCAGCCCCATGTGAGATAGCCCTAATCAATGGCTGCAAGTCATCTTGCTCTCTCTGGTCAGTAAACCTTGAGCTCTTTTCCACCTAATACCAGAGATTTAATGGGAGCGTGGGAAGATGCCTACAGCGCGGGGAAAATCAGCCAGTGAACTTTCTGGTTTTGCTCAGAACTTCCTGCTAAGTTGCAGGTGAATATAGAGCATCTTCTCAAGGAGAGGGAGACATGTTGACAGTTCAGCATGTGTCACTGAATGAAGGCCTCTCTCACTGATTTAGCACTGCAACACCATGAAGCTCTGGTACCACAGAAACCAGCATCATTTTTCTCCTTCTGGCTTCAAAAGAAAGCAACGACCTTCTGTGAAAGCTCAGAAAGAAACTTCTGAGATGGATTCTGGAGAAAAAGAGATGGGGAAACATAGGCAGCTGTACAGATGCAGGAACAGGTCTTCCTGCTCCTAGATGCTTCTGCCAATGGAATCTAAATCACAGGCATGCAAAGGTTACACAGTGATTTTGAGCACTGCACTTTGCCAAAGGAAAGGGATAATTTGAGGTGATTCCAAGACTCGGAATTTGGTCATTTTATATCAAAAATGTCCCACTTGCTTCTCCTCACCTCTATCAAGGTCTGAGCTGAAAAACAGACATGGCAGCTCCTAAGGGACAGAGTCTCCTTCTTTCATCTTTCTTACCTGTAACTATATCTCATTAAATGTTTGCTAATGCATTAAAGACAAACAGCAAGTGCTTCTCCTCTAAAGCAACCAGAAAGCACACGCTCGCCTCTTAATTAAGGGGCTGGACTTGAAAAAGAGCTGGACTTAGAGCAGCCAAACACAGTGCACCACCAGATGCACAGATGAGCTCTTCATTGCCAGGGTCACCATTATTCACACAGCACTATCTGCAAGGACAGTCACACGTGGCTCTCGAGCAGGGTCCTGTCTTCCCTGACAAACAGCTCCCTCAACTGTCAAACCTTCAGTCACCACAAAATCTTCCCTTCTCAGCCCACCAAAAGCTATGGTAGGTAAACCACAGCCTATGGGTCCACCTCCACCCCACCAGCAGCCCCATGGAAGGGGTGTTGGAAAGCAGGTCATCCACCTCCTCCCTGGGAAGCACCTTTGCCAGCAGTTCAGCTGCAGATCACAAGATGAGACGGCCGCTCTCTGTCACACTGTCCAGCTTGCTCATACATAAACATACACATCCAAGGTGTGTCCTTGAAATCTCTCCTTGGATGTTTTCCTCCTAGGAGATTTAACAGCCCTTGGTGTATATACATATACATATATATACACAAAAGAATCAATCCATCATGGCTTGCCAGCTGCAAGTAACAACTGAGCAAGCAACCAAGTGCTTAATCTGAGTAACATTAAGTGAGCTATGAAGAACCATGAACAGTTGTCATGTTGGGCAGCTCTGTCACAGGGGACAGCTCTGTCACAGGGGACAGCTCCTTCACTAGGTCAGCATTTCACTTAGGATAATAGACAATGAAATCACTGCACAAAAGGACAGATTTTAGACTACTCAAGATTAATGGAAATGATGGCAAGCCAAATAAATACATGAGAGGTGGGGAAACCTTGACATATAAGCAAGCAGTTTGGCCCTTAACAAGTAATAAGTCTTAATGCACTGACCCTCATCCCACAAACACCCGTCAGAGCCAACAGTGTTTTCCGAACAGTCACTACTAGGGAAGTTACAGCTTCAACACGGAGTGAAATTCTGTTCTATGGGAGTTGCCTGAGAGGGTTGCACCATCTCCTCATAGTCACAGTTCCTCATTCAGACCTCCAGGCAAGGGAAAAAACACCTAAATATTGATCCAAAGAGGAGATTTCAAAGTTCCTACAGAAATACCTGAGGATATATCAATATATAAGGAAAGCTACTGCTGCTTGAACTGTGGTATGACTAAAGTCAGTGAACACACAAACAGGTTCCTTTTATTTAACTTTGCTAGCACGTGACCAAGCACAGCCACTGCACCTGACCGGCAAGCACAACGGCGGGGCCGCAGCCGCGTGCTGCAAGCACTAGTGGGAGAGCAACTGTCACGGACAAACAGTCCTGAGAAATGGCTGCAAAATTGGGTCAGCCACATTGCACTGACCAGTTTAAAGGAGAATTTGAAGTGTTAAGCTATCCTACCTGGGAATGAGTAAGTAATCTCTGAATCCTGCTGTCAAGGTTCATTTTAGAACCACTAATCACTGTGAATAATGTATTTCTATATGTCCATATTCCTTCCACTTAGCTGCACGGTGAGTTTCCATGCATTTGTTTGCGGGGGGTCTGACACCTCCACGGGACCCACACGAGCAACAGAGGGTCACCCAAAAGGGCCTTCCAGCCCCGCTGAGGACGCATTTCCAGGCCGCACTCCTGCAGACGGGGCAGCTCCCAAGGGCAGCGGTTTCCAAGCGGCGGGGCCGGCCGGGACGCG